CACAAAGAGTTTTATTGATCTTACAAGTTTATGTAATGTGATGAGCACAAACTATTCAATTAATGAAATTAATGGTGAAACAATATTGATGAGAAACATTGTTGTTATTTATTTTAAAAAAGAATCACCTTTCATTTTATGCTATGATACAAAACAAACTTCTCAGAAAATGAATACAAAACTATAAATATCAGAAGTAACCCCAAAAGAAAACAATCTTATCCAGATAAAGAAGATATTTCCCTAAAACCTGCTTATAAAATTGCTCCAAAAATTGCACATTTAAAAAAAGAATATTCCTGAACAGTATTACTATTTCTATAAGTAATTATTGACAGATAATGCTTCAACTTTAAAACCTCTTCAAAAAACTCAAAGGGATAAGTTGAGTGCAAAAAAAACAAAAAATAAGACTATAAGTTAAACAACAGTACAAAACAAAAATATTAAGCAAAAAACTGCCAAAAAGAAATTATTTAAACAAGCTGTGTCTATTAAATGTATAAAATTAAAAATTTTTGTGATAAATATTCAAATTTTATTAGTCATCAAAAGTACTAATAGACTGAGTGAAAGCTAAATGATTTATTTTAAATTTAAATTTTATTTGTTGTTGACTATTTCTATTATAAAAAAATGTCAAGGGTTCATTAACATTGTATTTACTACTTATACCAGAGAAATGTTTCTTTATTTTTATAATACACAATACAACTAAGAAATATTTAATAAAGAGTATAATATTGTTTTACTAAAAATGTGATTTATTATCATATTGCATGGAAAACATAAAAAAAAAAGTATTTCATTAGTGTATTAACTATAAAAATAAACAATTTATCATTAAATATTAAAATTTTTTGAATTTTTACTAACTATATTAATACGTTATTCTTCTATATTTAATTTTTATTTACTAATATTTTATTATTTTTATGAAAATTTTATGTTAAATTTTTAAATTAAGAATAGATGTTCCACTGGAATCAAAAATCTTCAAAACATCAAAATCTAACAAATGTTTAATTATAAAAATAAAAATAAAATACATGAAGCACCATAAATAATCGATCACTGTCTTACAATTATTTCATTATAAGACTATCGTCGTGTGAGTGAGTCAATAAATAATTAAATAATCTGAAATAAAAACTAAGAACACATTTCTCTGTCCTATATGTTTAATATATTGATGTATATTTTTATAAATCAAGGATAGCCAAACTATAGATCACAATCCTTAGTAAATTGCGTACGACATAAAAGTCAACTACCAATAGTTACTAAGAATTAATATTTATGTTAATTAATTTTTGAAACTGACTAGTAATTTTCTATAATTTTTATCTCAATCTGTGCAATTACGGTCGTTTTCTAAAGTAGATTATCTAAAGAAAATAAAATATACTCATATTTTTCCCTTAACAAGTCCCGTTTTAAAATATATGATGCATGTAAAACAAAAATAACGCTAAGAATATATTAAGGCTAATACTTCTAATGATTCTATTCTTTTAATGCAACAAGTTAAATAATGTATTGTACAGCACGAATTTCCTTCCCATGATTTTATTTTCCTTATTAATAGTTTGTTTTTTTTAGTTTTTGTAGAATTTACTAATTTTTATAAATATATTCACAAATATAAAAAAATATTTTATCATTTACTTCAAGAAATTATTAGTTTTAGAAATGTATACTTTACAGTATATTCAATATGGCCAATCTTACTATTCAATTAACTCAATTTCTTTAATAGTAAGTCAGAAAGATCTTCGGCTAGGTTATTGCTTAATAAATAGTTTAATTGCACGGTATAAAGGATATCATGGTAAGATCTTTTTTACTAGTAAAAATTGAAATAAGATTAGTATAATATTCAGTATTATTAAATAAATAAAATTTTAATCTACATAATAATTTATTTTTATACATCTGAACTATCACTAACTAATTTGTAATATTGTAAATTAACAAATGTGTTAAAACTAAAAATAAATAGTAAAGACTCATGGCCCTCCACACGAGCTTGCTCAGTGACACAATGTATAATATATTATGTAATATGTTTATTTATATGTAATAGTTTTGTATTTTGTAAATAAATAAATAATTAAATTTAACTTCTTTTAAGTATTTATTTCAATAGTTAACGACAAAAATGTATGTTATGAAAAAAAAAAAATTCAAGTTAATTATATTTCCAATTATCTTAACATAAAAGTACACAATATAAAAAAGGTTCGGAATTATTGACTTTTCAAATATTAGATAACAGAAAAAGAAAATAAAACCAATATGTAATATATGTAGATATTAAATTTAGATTATCTTGAAAAATTAGTATATTAAATTATGATAAAAAAATAAAATAATAACAAGAATAATAATTTAAATTACAATTGAAATAAAAATATTTGTAACTTTGGCATAAATTATTACTTTTTAAGGTAAAAATTTAATTTAATTTGTAAAAAAATAAAATTGTCATACAATTAAGATATAACATGTGTGACTTAAAATGTGTCAAAAATATAAAATATATCATATTCTTAAGTGAATTTTACGAAGTTCCCATGTGTCTCAAAATTACATATCATAAAGTTATGAAAAAGTTCGTGAAAGTTTATTGAACATTTTAAATCGAGAAGTTTGAATTTGTTCTCGTTTCATTTACAAGATGTATTCGACCAAAAAATGTATACATTGTATTTTAGTTTCTATAATATACTTAAAATTAAAACTTTCCTTTTCCAGTTATCCATAGTGAAATTTAAAATAAATTACTACTATGGGCATATCATTTATGAACTCTAAGTCATATTTAAAATAATAAATTAATATGTTCAAAAATATTGTAAGAATTAATTTTAAAGATTTAATTTCTTCTGTTTAAGTTATTTTATTTCAGAAAAATACTAACTAACTTATAAAAAATATTTATTTATAAAACCTTTTGAACGAAATGTTTATAGTTAGAAATACATCAATATCAAAAATAAAAAAATATACTTTTTAAAAATTAAAGGCTAGTAATTTAAATTAAAATTAACAATAAATTGATAAACAGTTAACGCTATTTAAAACTATAAGCTCATATAAATGACGAATATATTTATATATATATAATTTACTATTTTATTTTATTTTTATATAAATATTATATTATATTATATTTAAATATATACATTGAATTATTTTTCATATTTATCATTCGTATTCCAAAAAAATAACCAATACACGATTGATATAATTACTCTATTTTAATATAAATATCTTGTTAACAATTATTTAAGAAATATTGGATTTATAATGAAATAAAATATATTTACAGAATATATAATATTCTACAGAATAACTATTGAAATGGCACGAAACTCAATTGTATGAACCAAAACCGTTTTTATGCTAGGATATCAATTAAATAACAATTCATGTTCAGTTTCAAGTAAATACAATTAATTAGTTTTTAAAATATGAATATATACCGATCTGATTCTGTATTACCTATATTATATTTAGCTTTGTACATTACATATTATCTTACTTAATCGATTTAAGTATATATTACCTTATTATATTTTATACAAATATGAAATACGAACTCAATAACACACTTTATTTTTATTAATCTAAAAATAAGTTTTCCCATGACATACAACTTTAATAAAATAATTGAAAGAAATAAAGTAAATTATATTAGTTAAAAAAATTATGGTCTCCATTTTCTTCGGTCTGCTATATAGTTTATAAAGTATTCATTACAGCACTAAGGCATATACTTTTATAAAATCAATTTTTTACGTGAAAATTCTTATAATTATACTTGAATAGTTCAATTATTTTCATATACAGGTATTTTGAAACCCAAAGTATTATTCCAACCAGAATAATAAAATTGTTTGTAGATTCAAATAACAACTGTATAATCAATAAGTTTTTAGTTTAATAATTTAACTTAAACTTCTAAATTATTTAGAAAATACAATAATCATAATTGTTTGTGTTAAATAAATTTTGTTTAAAATAGTACCAATATTGTATTTTTCAAATTGACCATTTTGTATAAGTCTGGATTTATCAAGTATCATTTTGGGATCTACACAGACATCTGGTGTTCTAAATTACGTTCTAAGGTAAGAATTCTTTGAATCAACAGTCACAGTGTATATTATTATATATTATGTTTGTTTTTTTTTTTTTTTTTTTTAATAAAAACCTCTCAACTTTCAGCCATGAATTTAAATTTTTAGTTTACTTTCTTATATACATTTTCATTTTAAATTGAATAATTTTAATAATATGAAATTTATGAATTATCATAAATACTTCACATGTAAGTATGGTTGGTAAACAGAATATGTTTGGTTTTGATTATAATTTGAATATTCAACTAAACTTTAAAATACTTCTAAAACTAAGCTGAATTTATATACAATTATAAAAAATTAATCTTAAACTTATTGGCAATGTGAATATATATTATTTAAATATTTATCAAAGTCAATATTCTATAAGTATTTAATTTTTTAATAAAAATTACAAATTGTATAAAATACTTAGAATCCATATATTTATTCTATAATTTAATTACTTTTATTAGAAAGTATAGTTTATCATTTTTAACAATCAAATACTAACTATAAATTATTAAATAAATAAACAATTCAGAACTATTTTTGAAAGATTTTCTTAAACTTAAGTATTGAAAATACAATAATTATATGGTATACTATTATTACTATTCTTATTGTATTGTAATAAAAGAGTTATTCATTCTAAGATTAATTAATACTAAGACAACCAACCCAATTGTTTTTAACACTGTAAAATATATTTAAGGTAAAATAACTAGGTATCAAATAAACATGTACTTTTATATTTTTTTGTTAAATAAGCATTAGATACAAATGTATTCAGTTATTTAAGCATATTGATAAAAAAAATATCGACATAGTATCTATGTAAATATAATTAAGTAATAAAATTAAAATACTTACTCAGCTTCTTCGACTGAATCGGTTTTTGCTAGGAAGACACAATTGAGCAATATTGTGGTCATAACCACATAGTCAAATATTTGGTTGGTAGAAATGTATATGCACAGCTGTCGAAATGAGTTCCAAGGAGAAAACATAAAGAAAGACTTGGTGGCAGTGAAACGGTGTATATAATTCTTCCGAAACCTTTTAGATACCACACAAAACGTCTAGAAAATTAAATAATTTTAACTAAGATCACATTACTATACATATTAAAAATATTAATAAGAACTACATTTTATATCATATTTATTACAGAAAATTTCTCTAGACTGTGTGATATTTTAACAGAGATATCATCTAATATTAGCATAAAAATTGACCTAACCTAATAAATGAATACGGTAAATCATATTATAATAACCTCAGCTATTCTTTTTACCAAATTATAATAGTTGAAATGTACGAATTGAAAATTCATTATTTTATACAATTTTATTCAGTAATCTATGTTAAACTTTATAAGGAGTTTACTGGTACATTATAAATTTAAGTTTCACTATGCGTTTACGAGTATGTCTAATGGTGGTTTCTCTGAAATTATGCCACCAATATAATCGTTTTAGTTGATAAAATAACAATATGAAAATTGACACATTTTAGTTATAATATTGTTCTACAAACAAAATACTTATTCTAGTTATAAATTAATTAAAAATCATTTAACTAAGTAGCTTTCAAAACTATTGTAAAAATAGTTAATAAATAAATAAAAATTCAATAGTAGAAATTCGATAATAAATACATGTTTTGTACAACATTTGTATCAAATTCCCTATTTAAAAAGTGTTTCCTTGAAACTTACGATGCATTCTAGTTGGTACTAGAAAAAATTAACATCATAATGTTGCTAATATGTTTTTCAAACTATTACAGATTATATTTCTATTTTATATTTCTGTGATAAATGCTGCACTATGTTTATATCTTTAAGTAATTAAAGTTTAACGCTAAAATTAATCATCCAAATGCCACAATCACAAAGAGGCGTCAAGTATTAAAAAAACATTCTTTAAACTTTCAGATTGAATTATTCTAATTTTCCTTAATTCGTCATTCTCGATGGTCGAGTTTACTATGATTGAAGTGACATTTTATAATTATTATCATACGTTCAAAATTTAACAGTATAGACATATAGTTGCATAAAACAATAATTCATACATATTATTACCATGCAAAGAGTACAAAATATAACCAGTGGTTGCAACTTGTAAGTCACTACTATAAAATATGTAGTGTTTTATCGTTAATTCTGCTAGATAAAAAAAGAGGTTGACTAATGCAACATTTTTACAAATATAGAACAATACAAAAGATAATACTTTTTTTTAGACAGTAAACATATATTATTAAAAATTTTTTTAGATATAAATAAATATATTTATAGCTAAAAATATATTAATAATATATAATATGTATTTACACATACACGGACACACACACACACACACATATATATAGGCCACTATTAAAAGAAAAATATTGTCCGTACCTTGAATTTTCTGAAGAACAAAATGATTACTATCAAATGTAAATTGACTGTTTTTAAAATTGTATAATTAAAAAAATTTAAATTTAATAAATAATAACAGACAATATTAAACGACAAACAATACTCCATATTATAATAACAAATAGAAAATTTCAAAATTATACATTTCGATAACTAATACGTAACCTATTGTTTTTAGTTTTTAAACAGTAGTAAATAAAATTTTATTTAACCTTAAATAAATATATAACTATTTGATTTTTCAAATTAAGAATATAATGAATGTGTGTTCGTTGTAATTATGTGACTCATAATAATTGTACTCTTATAGTTTTGTTAGATTAACCTAACGTATAATAACAAAAGAATATTTTATTTTATACATGTATATTTTTATTTATCAACATATTTTTTTTAATAATTATTATTATTGTTATTGTTTATAGATCTAACTTAAAACTATCTTTTAGATTTAAGGTGGTTAAACTTTAATTATTAAAAAAGGTACTAATGTATTAATGAGTTCCTACCTAATTAAGTAAAATAATTTTACTGTCTCGTCTAAACAGTATTAATGAAAACTCATTTGGAATGTGATTAATCAAATATTTAATAACAAGTGTTCGTGTTTTTGATACAATACAAAGGACTAATTAAGTACAAATTATGGATACAATTATAATAATTAAATTATAGATTCTGGACATGATGTTTATAAGTAAAAATTATAATTTTTAATTATTTAATCATTTTGCAAAAATATAATGTTTTAAAAATAATTACTAAAACACATTAAACGAAAAGTATATTTACTTAGTATCGGCTGAATGACAATTTAGAGATTTGTATTTATTTTATATTTTAAATTCATAAAACATTGAAATTTAAAAATTATTCTGTAATATATAAATTCTGATTATTAAATCAGGTACATATTATTATTGATGTCTCAATATAATTGAAATTAAAATAAAAACTTTCTGGATATTTGAAATATAAATATAATATTATACTCTTAAAATCACTTATAGACGTTTTATAATATTTATTAATAATTTAAATGTATGTGTTGATTCACTGGCACTCAGATATGGAAATTTGACCGCGAACTATAATAGCTAGATCTCAGTAAACTATCCAAATATAAGAATTTTAGTCATCGATATGGCAAATTTAATAAAATTTAGCCTGTTAATCTAACCTATTTTGTAGGTACTTGATAATTTATTTTACAGATTCGTTCATAAAAAGGTATTAAATTAAGTCGATTTATTTTCAATACAAATATTTGTTCAAACAAATTGTTCAACCCTGTAATTTTTTTGTTTAACTTACACGTACACTTATGTTTAACTAATACATTATTATAGATTAATAAATGAGGTAAAACATCTGCTAGTTCTTTTAACAATTAGGAAAAAACTCATGAATTAAAATACAAATTTTTAATCTTGAATTCTTAGATAATAATTCATAAAGGCTACAAGATAACTTTACAATAGTGACAATAGTTATATTATAACTTCTTTACTCTTTTATAGAGTCTTAATAGCGAACTAAATGCAAAGAGTCTACAATTATAATTTTTATTTTAATTATTTCATAATCTAAACATGGGTTAATTTAATAATTTCCTAATGATCCATGGACGAAGATGGCCCTTATAAGTCTAGTGAGTATTGTTATTAATATTTCATTGAAATCGTTTCAAAGGAAGGTTTTGAATGTTAATTGCCAAAACTTTTGACTTGCCCCCTCGAATCGTAAATTCACGTAAACAACTTTAACGGTATACCGTTCTATTGTGCAGTTACTGGACTCTAGACGGCCGTGCAGTGCACAAATACAATAGCTGAATAATATTCTGCACCTTTTGAGTTAACGACTTGTGAACTTCCACAAATCATATACTACATGATGTTCTCAATTGAATATATAGATATTTAGAATTCCATCATTGATGTAAATATGTAAGGTTATAACTATACATAGTTATAATTAAAATATTGATATATGATACATAGGTATATTTAATAATATTAATAAAAAACAACAGTTATTATTGTTAAATTTATGCCTATATATTGATGAAATTATAAAAATATTTATCTTGATTATGGTTTCTACTGTATAGGCTATACACTAGTGTGGGTGTAATTACTTACTATCTACAAAAAAGTAGTTATTTAATTTAAAATGTAAAATTATTATAAAATTAGTCAATTTCAAGTATATTGTACTCAATGAGAAAATAAGTTTGTTGAATAGTTTCATCGGTTTATAAGAGTGATAAAATGATTATTCATGGTTTAGTTCTACGAAGCATTAATTTTCAAAACATCCCAAAGGGTATATTAAATTAATAAAAATATTTAATTGCATCATCAGAATATTTAAGTTCATAGATAAAGATTAATATAGCAAATTAAATATTAATTATAGAACATACATTTTTATTACTTATCTAATTAATTTAATTTAATTATTTAAATTAAATATAAAATTATTTTGGATATATTTTCTAAAAAAAAAAAAAATTAAATATAAATTTCTACAACATGTTTAATTTTATAAAAAATGAACACGAGCACATTAATTTTAAAGAATATAAGAAATTTTATTTTGAATTTTTATGATATAATGCCAAAATTATGAATGAATAAATAAATATCTCATAGTTTAAAACTTAAAATATGTTTACTAGTTTTGCTACTATTACGTATTTATTTTTTTAGAAAAAAACATAAACATAATAACAATTGTACTATTAAAATATTTAATTAAGAGGAAAATAAACTGATATTATTGAAAAAAAGTATAATTATAACTTTTGGGTTTTAAGAAAAATTTTCTTTTGGAAAACACTTTTGATTTAAATTACATTATTTAGACTAAACCCTTTTAAAATATATATTTATTCAGCTTTAATAATTTAAAAGTTATTTTTCAAAATTATTTTGTAAAACATGATCTTAAAACTTTTTTTTAATAACAGATTTTTTTGTGTTTATTAATTGACTTCCTAAGAAATTAAAGATAAAATGTTCTTATGTCAAATTTAGACTTTGGTATTTTTTTATTTTATTGAAAACAGAGCTTTCCGTAACAATAACTTTCTCACTCATACCTTTAAATTTTAATATCATTATATTAATTATCAACAACTAACAATCGCAAATGAATAGATAATTATATAAAGCATTGAAACATTTCCCAAAATTGTAATGAAATTATACATTAAATATTTTTACTATATACTTGTCATATCTTTTAATTTTATATTCCAATTATTATTTCTTCTATATCTCCTTACACATACTTATATTTATATTATATTTTCTTCTATTATTTCTTCTAAGAATTTTTAAATATTGACCTCAGACTGTGTCAAGATTTTTGATGTGTTGATGAATGTTCTAGAAGTCATTGCTTCCACGTTACTTGTACGACTGAAGATTATTTTATTCTTTATTAGAACTATACAGTTTACCAGGAAAACTTTTAAATCAATATCGTTGTACTATATAACTAGAGCGCGGATTTCTATGCAATCGCATATTTTTTTCCTTTTGGATTTTTGTCAGTTATCTCCACGAATCATCATAATTTGAAGCTAATGGTGAAATTTTTTTTGCATATTTCTGCATATTTAGAGGTTATTGCATATTTTGG